TGATTCCTTTTGAGGGGCATTTGCCGCTACCTTAACCTGTAACTTACTATAGTTCACTTTATACATCAGCCTCATTGCGTGTTGCCCTGTGACTATGTTTCTTTCCTGCAGTAAATGGGGCTTTTTTCTGGGTAGTCATGCATCACATTTTATTGGTTCACATGAAAACATTAGTATTAAAACATACATTGGAATTAAAATATTTCAGAAGTCACAGAACTACCAGGAGAGGAAAATGGGCAAACAAAAACACATTTAAAAAAATGCTGCAGGATTAGCATACTGCATGCAGCTTTTCTTTTGTTCACATCAAGCTGGAGACTCGACGCATTTGCAAATCAACATAGTTCAGTCCTCTAGAGTGCTCTAGAGCAGGGGTGGCCAGGCTGACCCGGCCTAAGAGCCGCAAACAAAACCATGAAAAATACAAGATCCGTTGGGGGGAAGGGGGGGGGGGGGGGGGCAAACTTTAGAGCAATAAACGAAACTCGAACTACTTTCAATATATCCAAGTCAAAACCAGTCCAACTGTACTTAACGTAGCCGTAGCACAAGACTACCAAACCGTAACCTGTTTTTCAATTTAAAACGCGTTCTATTTCTCTTTTGGGGGAAGTGCTCGTATGACCAGGAGTGAGGTGGGGGAGAGGGGGAGGAGAGAAAGCCATGAGCCACACTTAAACACGCGAAGAGCCGCATGCGGCTAGCGAGCCGCAGCTTGCCCACCCCTGCTCTAGAGTATATCATCACAATTACTGTAGGACTTCAGGAATCAAAAATTTGTAGGCAAAAAATTGCAGTCAACTCACTAGATCTGTGAAATAAATGCTATCAAATGCAACTGGAACCTGCACTGGCTTATACCCCATTCACACGGTAACCTAAAGGTACCTTAACATAGGTCCCTACAGTAAAGGGAGATAGAGATCGTATTCAGACGGGGCATAAAGGTCCCTTTCAGTAAAGGTACCTTTGGAGTAAACGGGGCTCCCCGACCTCCGTTTGCAGCTACAGAGAGTAGCCTCGGACCCATAAATTCCTAATAAAAATTACCGTTTATGTTTTCTTGTCGTTTAATGCGTCGTTGGTACTAGAATCTTAGGAAGTCAAAGTTTTAAAATAGATGGGGACCACAAACGCGATACAATAGGAACAAAATGATACTCCCGGTAACAGGTAGCGGCGGCGGCAACAGCGGCGGGAAGAGACGCAATGGTGCTACCTCTGCTCCCACATGCATTGACGACGAGTCGCGCTCTTCGGCGCAGGAGATTTTTGTGGCGATGGTTTCATCAGCGCATGAGCCATTGAACTGGGGTGCCAGCTCTAGCGGCACCAGCGAAAAGAAAAAAAAACGCGCGAGTGCACTGGTCCGAGTCAGAGACGTGGGCTCTCATTCGGCTATGGCAGGACAATTTGGCAGAACTTTGGCGGTACAGAAGAAACTCTGGTGTCTACGAGACAATCCGTGTAGGCCTGGAGAAACTGTCTATCGTCAAGACGCGCAAGCAAGTCAGCGACAAGATAGACAATCTGAACCAGATGTACAGGTGAGTCTGTTTTCAGAATGATACTTTTGTTCTGGGGCATGATCGAAGGACGTTTTAGCGAACAGCGACATTTGAGTGAATCAACGTTTTAGCGAGTAACGGGGGCGCGTGTTAACCCATCTGCAGCGCTGCGCTTACGCCTCTTCGCGGCGATCGTCTGCGGCGGCTCATTACAAAAATGTGAACTCATTTGGCCGCCCGAAAACGCCGCTTCGCAGAGTCCAACTATTCGCTGGTCTCATTCGGTGAAACGTAGGCGTTCGCTAAAACGTCATTCGATCAAGTGAGTTCCTCCCGTTCTGGGTCGCGCTCACCGAACTGTGCCAAACACGCTCTTTCTTGTTGCTAGAACGGCTTATATATATATATATATCCCAGTTTACATCGTAACCAGACTTGGTCAGTTTGTTCTTGACGCGATACATTTAATGTTTTGATTAGGACTGCCTTATTTAGCTGTGTTCTCGGCGTGCCGCCTTGGTGGCTCCGAGGCAAAATGATTTGTTATCTTTGTGTGGTTGGTTAGCTCCAGCTGGAGCTTTGAAGGGAGTTGACAATGAAAAAATTAATTGCCAACGCCCTGGTGCTATTCATCTGCACTGTAAAAAGAAAATGCAGACGAAAGATTGTATCTAGGTGGCAACAAGCCCTTGTTGCTGAATAAATCACATCACCCCTACATTATTTTCCTCCAGAGCAAAAAAGAAAAGCCTGACAACTGGGTCAGGAAAGGTCTCCTGGCCCTTTTACTACGACCTACACAGTTTCCTGGGGAGCCTGCCCGTCAACGACCCAAGTCTCGTGAATGACTCGCTCCCTGCGGATGTTGTTGAGGTATTTACTGATTTCGTATGCTTTGAATTATGACGAAGGCAGAGATGTGCGATTCAACCTTTTAATAAGCTTGGAGAGAATGGTTAACATAACGAGTTACAGATTCGTCGTTATAAGCTGGAACTGAAGCAACTGTTAAAGGGGCCCTGCAATCACATTTAAGCGTCTACCTTTTTTGCGGTTTCCACGTCTCTTGTGGTTGGGGCAAGCCAGCGGGCACGGAGAGAGTAACTAAATATCAGTGCGTCATATTTTAACCGGACGACGCGGAAACCTCCTCCACCGACGAGGGCGACCCGCGGTACCGAAAGCGCGCAAAATGTGACGTCTTTGGTCCTGGGCTTGCCACTGGTCAAAGCCGCTAAGATCTTTTTTTTAGTCAAGATACAAAATATAAGTGTCGCGAACCGTTTCAATTACGTATGAAAGTAGTTTTTGTTCACTATTTTAGATCAGAAAAGAAACAAATGCAGTTTAGAAAGTACGGAAACGAGAAATGACCCGTCGACATACCCGCCACCAAGCGGCGGAAAAAAACGGCGCATACTAGAAAAGGCTAGTGGGATGAGGCTACGACAAACGAGGAGCGTAGAAAGGTCCCGGATGTACGCGGCGGCGCTGTGGTCGTATACCGGCTCAAGAATCCGACCGGTTGCGAGCGTTCCGAAGGCCTTCGGCGCGGGCCCTGCTGGCGATTTGGCCATTTGGCGGTGCGTCAGCGCGAAGTGGCTCCCGTTCTGAACTGATCTTTACCCCGTGTTTGCTGTCGTTTGTGGCCAATGAAATGTTATGCCAAATTAGTGTTTAGTCGCACTGCAAATGCAATGCGAGCTGCCCTGGCCACCCGCTTCATACAGCATATCCAACACGTGCTTTAGTGGCGCCCTCTCGAGCCGTCGACACGGAGTACGGCAGCCGTGTGCGCTCGATGAGCTCACTACTCCTCCTCTAGTTCAAGTCCACTCAAGCCAGGACCTACGACGTCATGAAGGAGGTTATTTTTTGCTTGTTTTTGTAATTCTAATTTGCCTATAACTTTTAAAATAAAGCGAAATTTGAGAAAAGAAAACTTGGATTAAGTTACTACGTTCAGTACGCTCAGGTTCAGTGCAAATTAAAAACCAGTCAAAAAGTCATTGCAGGGCCCCTTTAAGTGTGCGGAAGCAGACGTGACATTTGGCATCACCAAAGAAATTTCATCTGTTTCCCGCGGCACGTAAAGACGTTTGTGCTATTTGTTTCATGTGCGCAATGAAATCAATCATTAATAAAATTTGGATTTTCTGTAGATTAATGATGCAAACTAAGCAAACATTAAGAAAACTCATTTGGGTGGAGCATACATAAATTGTGCCCTGCACCTATGATAGTCATGTGCTGCCAGCTCTTTCAGAGGCACTTGTTAGGGTCTGTTTGTGGAAAGCCAGTGGGGCAAGCCGAATACATGTGAAGCAGCTCTCCATCCGCCTTGGCAGCATAAACTGCATAACTCCAATAACAATGTGGTTATTTCCAGTTCAGAAGAGCGTCGACAAAACTTAAAAGGTCAACTCTGATTTCTTTTCAGTGTTGAGAAAAAAATGCAGAGGAAGGAAAATGAGGGAAGCACACCTTCTACAAGGTGTAGTGCACAAGGGTGACGGCAGCTGTAACGGCAACGATAATGGAACTGTTGCTAGTGCCACTTTTGTTTGTTTAAGTTTCATACCCAAGTGTAAAATGCATGTTTTAGTTCTATTATTTCAGCTTTTCCTGGTCCTACACTGAAAGTTACTACGCACCTTATTTTTGCCTGATTTGCTCTTTGATATATGCTGTTATAATGCGGTATGCATACATCATCAAGTGATAAACCTTTCTCATAAGCACCCATTGGTTTTTATCAGGAACCTGGAGAAGGCCCTCACGAAGGGCCAGACGACGACAACGAGGTGGTGGCCCTAAAGGAAAAACCCCTCGAGGAACGGCAAAAAAAAAAAAGGAAGTCCACCATGAAACAGGGGGACATTCTCATGCTGTTCATTGAGGAGCAGAGAAAATAAAGGAAAGAGCTTTCTGAAGCTAGGGAGAGGGCCCACCAAGACCGGCAACGGCAGTTTTTGATTATGGAAGAGTCAAACCAGCTCCAGTGGGATTTCCTGGATTTCATGAGGTCACGGAAGGAAAAATAAAAATGGAAACTTTGAGAAATATCCCTCTCTTTACTCGAGTTTGGATTGGAAGCATTGAAGGGCTACAGGCTTCTGTCGTTTGAATCCCGATTCAAGATATTTTGCTCAGGATGGGAGAAACGTCATACCATTGGTATAAATCTGCAAGTTAGTAGGCACAGAAATGCAGGTGCAGCTACAAGGTAAACTAAATGCAAACATCAATGGTATAGCAAGAACGACTAGCCAGTCTGAAATTTTAACTGTGCAGCTGCTTATTACAATTGTGGTGCGTGATTATTGGCCACTATGTAGAGCCTACACCTATATGTACGGTCAGCATGGAGCGAACAGCGGATACACGGTTCTCGTCCGATGCTGTCTCTTTTAAAAGAGGAACGCCTAAGTTTGAGATGCACCGGGTGAGCGACTAACATATCAAAATAAAAGCCGCACTCGCAACCCCTGTATGAAGCAGAAAGCGCAGAGTCTAGTGAAGACCATGCAGCCGCTGGTCGCATTTTATTTCTAACCGACTGTACTGTGAAATCTCAATTTGACGTGCTTTCATGCTTACTGTAGCAATGACCTGTATTTAAGTGGACAAAGCATGCTTTGCTGAAAAGAAATGAAAACTGCTGTGTCATGTGAGTGGTTGAGCCCGCTCAGAAAAGGAATATTTATTTATTTTTCACTGCCTGGAATAGCAATGAGAATTCAATGTCACGTGGACAGATTAATGGCATGTAGTGCATATTGTAGGACTTTCTGCGGTCCAGAGATTGTACCCTGCGAGAAAAAAGAGTCCGCATGTTTTTCCATTGCCCCGAGATGAATAAACAGTTTTGTATTCTAGAATTTGATATATGTAGTCACTAACACTTTGTAAACAATATAACATAAGAAAAGACCTTAAAAAATGACTTCAGTGCCCCTTTAACCAATTAGTGTTCTGTAGTTTACTGTGCGAACGTCTCGGGTTTTAGTCGCACTGAGAGGGCGAACGTCTGGGTTTTAGCCACGCTGAGAGGGCGGGTTCGCCTCGAAGTATGCAACGAGTGCATCCCGCACTGCATCGGCGCCATCTTCTGTGGCCTTGGTCCTGTGCATTGCCTGCTCACGCTTTGCGCTCTCTTCTAATTTCCTGGCCGCGTCGACCCACTGCTTCTCCGCCCCATCGTTGAGCATCTTGCAGATGTTGTGTATGGTGCAGCAGGCTCTGACGACAGCGTTCACGTGGTCGATTCTCATTTCCATCCGCTTGAGGACGATGCGGAAGCGGGCCTTCAGACGACCAAACGCACTCTCGACCACGCGCCTGGCCTTAGAGAGATCCCCTTTCCCTTGGGGGTGGTTGAGGCTGTGGGGGAATGGTTTCATCAAGTTCCTCGTCAGGGGAAAAGCCTGATCACACAGGACGAGGGGAGGTATCTCCGTGCCATCAATGACCCTTGGTACAGCAGTCTGGTTCTGCTCGAGCAGATGCGCCAGCGGGGAGCGCCGATAGACGCTCGCATCATGGCACCTCCCAGGGGTGCCCACGCTGACGTAACGGAATAGGTATCTGTGGTCCACCAGGGCCAGGAGGATGACACTGTACCTAAAACAAAGTGACCACATGTGAGCAAGGAACAGCAAAAGCACCGCACACAACAAACATAGCTAAATTGCTTGCTACTGAATGCAAGTGGTGCTGTTTGTGAAATGGATCCTTGATGTGCCTCCCACCCACGGGCAGTTGTATTTGCTCGCTCTGTAGGCGCTTTGGTGACATCATGGGTTTAACTTGGCTGGGGGCACAAAATAATGAAATAACAAAGAGAATGGTCTCTGGCGTGACTACACCTGTATTTATACGAGGGGGGACCCAAAAGAAACCGAACTAATTCTTTTTTAAGCAGAGCTTTTGCAGTACCGCGTTTTGCCGCCAGGAGTTGATAGAGCGAACATTGCTGAGTCATTAGGCCTAATTCCGTCCTCGAAGAAGGTTAGGACTAGTTGCGGCTGGGTTTATAGTGACAAGTGTTTCGTGTGGGCGTCGTTTTTGCAATGTCTGATTTCTGTGAACAGCGTGTGGCGGTTAAATTCTGTTTTTTGCTCGGAAAAAGTGGAACAGAAACTACTGAACTGTTAAAAACAGCGTACAAGACGATTTCATGGGGAAAACTCAAGTGTTTGAGTGGTTTTCCCGTTTCAAGAATGGCGACATGTCAATTGATGACAAACCTCATTCCGGTCGTCCTTCCACGGCACGAACACATGAAAACGTTGAAAAAATTTGTCCAATCATCAACGAAGATCGACGACGGACCATTGACTAAATTGTGGAGCTGTCGGGAGTGAGTTGGCGTTCATTGCAGCGAATTCTGACAGAAGATTTGGGAATGAAAAGGGTGGCTGCCAAATTCGTGCCACGACTGCTGACTGCTGAACAAAAGCAAGGTCGCGTGGAAGCATGCTGTGCTTTGAAAGAAGAGTCCCGAAGTGACCCAAACTTTTTTTCAAAAGTTATTACAGGTGATGAAACTTGGTGCTATGGTTACGATCCTGAATCAAAGCAACAATCAAGCCAGTGGAAGACTTCAGGTTCGCCTCGCCCCAAGAAAGCTCGTTAGGTGAAATCAAACATCAAAATAATGCTGATTAGTTTTTTCGATGTGAAAGGAGTCGTCCATTCAGAGTTTGTTCCGCAGGGTCAGACAGTTAACCAGGCTTTCTACTTGGAGGTTTTGAAAAGATTTCGCAACAGTGTGCGGCGGAAGCGGCCCGATTTGTGGAAGTCGAGTGACAGGTTTTTCCATCATGAAAATGCCCCGGCTCACACTGCCTTGTCTGTACGACAATTCTTGACCAATAACGGTATGAGCCCTGTTCCTCACCCCCCCATACTCACACGACCTTGCCCCGTGCGACTTTTTTTTTGTTTCCTAGAATGAAAAGAGAAATGAAAGGAAAGCGTTTTGCTGACGTTGCTAAGGTGAAGAAAAAAACGACGGAGGCGCTGTCAAGCATCACAAAAGATGAATTTAAACAATGTTTCGACACATGGATTAAAAGATTAGACAAGTGTATTAGTGCAAGTGGACAGTACTTTGAAGGAGATTGAACGTTTGTACTTGAAATTGGAATAAATAAGTGCAAAAAAATTTAGTTCGGTTTCTTTTGGGTTTCCCCTCGTATCTGGTTTATAGCCTTGTGTGCAGCATAGTTTAGTAGAGGTACTTAATTTCTGACCCTGAAATTGTATGAAATAAGCAAAGTTGTCTGCAGGAAACGAGTATCAGTGTCTGCTTACCATCCTTTATAGTTGTGGCAGTCAACAACCAAGTCCTTTGGTGGCGACACAGGCAGGTGGCAGGCGTCGAGAGCCCCGATGGCGTTGGGAAATCCCAGCACTGCCTGGAACTCGCGCATGTGGTTGTCGAGATCTTCGTTTTGGATCATTGTTATTGTGCGCGCCTCGAGCTCCTCAATGACGACGTCGCAAAATTCTCGGTACGTCTCATTGACGACCGACTGGCCAACGGCAAGGTGGTGGCCGATTGTTCGTTCCTCTGCAGTGGAGCATAGCCTGTACAGGCTGATGGCCACCCTCTTCTCCACCGTTATTGCCGTCTTCATGGTGGTGTCTTGCCGAAGCATTGACGGCCGGCAAACGTCCACAAGACTGTCATCAGAACTACTAGTGCTTCAGGAAGTGCTCCCTTGGGCCACTAACCTAAGCAATAAAAGTTGGTGACCACCTATACCATTTCAAAGTAAAATTCGAAAAAGCGCCAATGTCGCGTTCGCGCTAACAGTGTTGCGCAGTGTACATGGGAGATATACTTGTTCATTGGATGGTATTTTAATCAACTTGCAAACCTTTGCAGCCTCCTTTATCAGAGGCCTTGCACATGAGACTTTCCTTAATTTGAAAATGCGACATGGAACCGCCTTTCTTGCATGCTGCAAATGATGGCATGAAATCTACACTGGAAAGGGGTATGCTGCCAGAAATGAAGTTCCCACTGCCATGAGCAACATGTCAATGCAAGGCATGTATTTACATAGAGGCATGCTAAGTAAATTTATACTTTTCCACCATCTAGTGTTTACAACTTTGGTTCTTTCTGATGATTACTGTCTACTCTCTTTAATATGACTGCCTCTAACTTGGCATTCCCATTTTATGACTAGTCTCATATAGCACAAAGCTATCTCCTTGCAAGGAATATCTGTGATTATTACATGTTCCATCTTAAGAAGAGTTGACTGTGTCACTGTGATAGATGCAGACCAAACATAATTCATGCAAACCTGTTTATTACAGAGGACATGTTTATTACAAAGGAAGTAACAAATGACCACGCCTAGTTATCAACTCCTGCCGGCTGACCACACCGTCTTAGTCTCTTCACTGAAAGTGCCTTCGAGCTTCGAGGCCTTTGTTTCTGGCCAGAACAGCCTTTAACTGGTGACCCTCTCACTCCAATCCCAGACACTGATGAGGTTCCATTATGGAGAAATGACTGGGCTGTTTTAACAGAGTCAATCGCCTTCTGCATTTCCTTCATGTCGGTACAGTAGTACGCCATGCTCTTGGACTTTTCAAGCTCAGCAAAACACTGAGGCCTCAAACTGCCAATTCATTGTACACTGCCTAAGTTGATCTAGGTCTGAAACCTTACCCTGACGTGATGTGCCCGATGGTTGGCCTGTTGAGTCTTCCACGTTCTGGACGTCATAGTCAACCTCTGGGCACAATACATTGCAGTCTAACGACATTAGTGGCCCGTTCCGGTAGCTCTCTGGGAGCTTTGTGAATCCCCAGTCATTAAAAGCAGGAATATGGCACAGGAGTGCTTAAACAGAAGGTTGTGGCGCAGGAAGTCAATGCACGAACAGCTTGGGGATGCAAAGGTGACTCTGTGGGACGTTGTTAAACAAGTCATCGACCTCACATGAAACACGCCACTCTCATTAGTCGGCTGAATGCTCTCAAGTGAGTAGTCGCCTGCTGCTGCAAGCCGACTCATGACATGTTTTACCACCTTGTGTGGCCGATTATGCAAGTACTCTGTCACGTAGAGTGGTATGACCTGTGCTCTGCAAGAAACTTGTTGTCTTCTCTTGAACACATTTTTCCCGTTCAGCAAAAAACGTCATCAACATCTTTATTAATCCGTCAAGGCTCTTGCGACCGCTACTTGTTTGTAGGCAGCCAAGGACAAACTTCTACTGCCACCTGTGAGCCTGAAGATGATGTGTTGAATGTAGTGGAGAACGAGTGTGAGGAAACCTTGCTCTACTGCTACCAGTCACAGCCAATGAAAGCATCCATGATGAAGTATGCAGGAAACACACTAGGCCTGGATGCAACATACAAGGTCTCCGATTATACGCTGCCACTATTTTTCCTGATAGTAAAACCTCCGGTGCAGTATGTAATTGTTGGCATGTTTATCGTGCAGTTCGAGACAAGCAAGTCAAACTCCGAAGCTCAGCAGATTGTTCAGGGAATGGTGCCCCAATGCCTGCCCTAGATACTGGATGGTGGATTACTCAAGACCTGAAATTAATGCCGTCATGTCTGTGTTTCCCGAAAGTAAAATAGCTTTGTGCGATGTGCACCGCGAGAGGGCTTCGGAGAGGTGGATAAGGAGGAAGGAGAATGGAGCGCAAGACAGAACAAGCTTGATCGAGCTGTTGCGCAAAATGGCAAAGGCTCTGACTGAAGGGGAATTCCTTGAAGCAGTCAGGTGCCTGGAAGAGTGCGATGAATGGAAACAAAACGAGAAGCTCCAGGTTTATCTGAAGGAGACTTGGTTTCCAGCGAAAGAATGGTGGGTTAACTATTAGAGACCTGGGCTCCTTTTTTGTATGAATAATAGAACCGAGGTCCAGAACGGCCTGCTGAAGAAAAACTACGTAAGGACGGAAACAGTACTTTCAATCTGGGTCACTTACTTTGTGAAGTCACACAAGCTCGAGCACATTCTCTTGGTCAAGCTCGCTAAGCCGATTCTTGCGCACAGCGCAACTCGCATGACGGCTGATGTCTTGCTTTGTAGGATAAAATGCACGGCAGTTATCTGGGGGAGGAGTTGCACCGACAAACATTACATCCTCAACATATACCTTTAAACAGCTCTGTACTTCCTTCACAGATGTTATCCCTCCTCGGACAAGCATTTGAATCTGAGACGAGGTCTCGTTTCACAGGCTGGGCGTATGCCAGTCCATCGACACTATGGTTATTTGATGTGAGTCTCTTTTTCGCTGATGCTAACGTACAGCCTTGTCTCTCGTTGAACACCTGATGGGTCCTTCGACAAGGCTTCGCTCAGGTTGCTCAAGGACATTTTTCTAGAAGCACTCCAGCTGCGCCTGGAGGAGTGGGCTTGAAGATCGATCTGAAACATTTGTACTAAATGTGAGGCTATGTTTATTTTATTTCAGTTATTTATCCTCAAGGCATAATCATTACACAGGGGGGGGGGGGGGGGGGGACGGAGCAGTGCAGATACATCTCGGAATAAACAGCGAAGTCACATCATAAGATTATCCCATGTCTTCTTAAAAAGTGGCAGCTCATTGCAGCATACTGCAATTGTCTCATAGAAAAGGAGGGCAAGAGAGGGACAGAGGAGAGGTGAGGGGAGCCAGGTGGAGGTGGGAAGCTTTCACAGTTTTTAAAAGTTTGGGTTTGATTATTTCGAATATATTTTACTTGAGGTATGAGAAATTAGATTTCGAACTTTCCTAACTTGGAATTTGAGAGATTCGAAAGTTTTGAATTTCTTGGGAC